TAAGTATTAGATTGAGTTGGTAGTCTTCTTTTTTTTTTTTTTTATTAAGTTCTTTCTTTATGTTTTGGATAAAGAAGTTCACATGGAGATCCCCATTAGGATTAATGTTGAAGTGGTGGACTTTCTTTTTTGTAAGGAGTTTTAGAAAGCAAGTTGTTTAGTATGTAAAATAGGAACACGTATAATGTATTGGATACTGAATTTTGATAGAATAAAAAAAATGTTATTTTCTAGAGAGAGAGAGAGGGAGCACAACTCTTATTCTTTTCTTCTCCTCTTGTTGATGGTGCATAGTAGAGATCTTGAATCACCACGTCCATGCCTTTTGCAAATCTTTTTTTAGTTTTTATTTCTCTCTAAAAAGGCGGTCGTTTTGCCAATTATTAGCAGCTCGTAATTTCATCTGAGTTAGTGGTATCAGAGTATTAGTCGATTCCTGTGGATCATGGTGCTCATCGATAGGTATCATGGTTCATGGAAAATCGAGAATGAGCCCATCCAACGAGAATGAGATCTCCAAGAGATTGAGATAGAATACTTGAGAAGGTAAGTGGAAGAACTAACCCAACACTTAACGTAAAACCCGACACATACACACTATGATGAAGGTAGTGAGTCGGAAGCTATTTTCGAGAGCCCATTTTATGCTCACGTTCCGCATCGGGGGACTCGTGGTTGGGAGACTAATCTACTTAAATTTGATGAAAATCTAGTTGAAGGTGAAGAGCAAGTAGGTTTGGATTTGCAATTGAAATCATCATTCATTGAGGTCATGTAAGATCCTATTTTTAATAAAGGTTCTCGATTTGATGAAGAACAAGATGAAATGAGATAAGTTGGCCTTGAGGGAATAAGGATATTTAACTTTCTCATTAATAAAGAGATAGATAAGCAAGAAATCAACCCAAACCCAGAGGAGATCATGGGTATGAAAAAATTTGATGAAGAAAAGAATTAGGGCCTCAAAAGATAATCAATAGGTGAAATTTGTTCGACCATCGAATCTAGTGCTCATCTCAAAGATGAATACGTGGTGTGCTCTATGGTTAAATTTGAGCAATTTCAACAAGTTTTTGTGGTTGAACAGATTCTATTGCATATAACGACCCTTTTCTTGTGGACTAGTCATTATCAATATACAATGGTGTTGGGTGTGTTTTCAGTCACATACAAGGCCCAAATGTATTTTAATATTGATATAATAGCCAAGCTTCATATGAGGCTTAATGAAATAGCTCATGTGATGCAAATATATGATATGATCAAGATCCATCATATAAAAAACTTGACATGCCTAAAGGAATCTTGACTCGTTAGTTAGTTTTTAAAGGTTCTAACTCACGACTAATAATACCAAAAGCTCGTCAGTTGGTGAAGCCATCTCCTTTGAAGACAAGTTCTAGGATATATATATATTACTAAGGCTCTATGTAGGCCTATCCATGTGATATATGGAAGAATAAATACGGCTTAATATTGGTATCTATCGTTGGTTATACACATGTGCTATAATTTATGGCCAATGATAAGAGATCATGAAGATGTTTCTATTTAAGACTGAACTCCGGAATGCATATATTCCTTGGCACATAAATGCCTCTCCACTAGATATTGGATGAGTTCTAGGTGAGACGTGTTGTGACTCTTTAAGACACCTGTCATATGTTGAAAGAATGGGGTTTGACCTATGGGGCTTAAAAGAAAGCTCGTCTTAATATAATAAGGTGAATTCCTAAAATATATATAGTAAGGCCTCATGTACCTTAAGGTACAAGGGTGATATGACTTTAGCGATATTTAGACCTTGCTTAACCCATATATGTAACCACCGTCGGTTCGAATATATCCTAACTGATACCCCGAAGCTCGATGCTTTCGAGACCAAATTGAAACTCTCAAAAAACCATGTCGAAGTGTCGTGACCCTTTTTTTGAAGCTTCGTATTAGTCGGAGGTTGGATTGCTTGTTGACTATGTCTCGTGCATTCCAAACATAACAACATTCAACTACTGATATTGTAATTTCTCTCTTAATGTGTGGAATTTTCCAAGAAACTAAGATCATTGGATCATCGATCTGATCACCCTTAAAATCGGTGTGGAAATGTTCTATACAAGTGAAAAAAGTATATTCAACGAGATCAACAGAAAGGTGAACCAACGAGTGATGAAAAGGAAGGATATGTCCTAGTCTTTCTCATTAGACAGCTTGATTAACCCGCAAGGCTACATATTTAAATTCAAAAGATGTATGGTTAGCCATATCAGATAAACGTGAATTTGAATTCACGTATGGTTAAGGGTTGACCACATAGGATAAGTACAAATTCAAAGTTTACACATGATTAAAATTGGGGTTAAGTGATTTACCCGCGGTTTTAAACTCACGTGAAGCCTTGGATTCAAAATCAAATCCACGAAATCCATTCATCTGAACTAGAAGATCAGCTTACATATTTAAATCCACATAAAAGATAAAGACAAAGTAAAGATCCAAGGTGAAGGTGAAGAAGAGGATAAGCATCATCAAGAAATCCATGGTGGAGATGATATTTGGTGGTTATCGAAGAGAGATTGAAGGTTATCATCTGAAAAGGATTATAAAATCCGGGTGAATACATGAGAATAGGGTTCGCATATTTTTACGGTAGATAAGTACTTTTTGAGAGGACATATCTCCTATGTTGATCAGTACTGAGATAGAGTGAGAGAAGAGAGAGAACTAGAGAAAGAAATTGATTATGTGCTCTGAAATACCTACTTGAGGCCCGTTTTCTGACAGGGACAAGGTCGTAGGATTGGCATCTCTGTCATAGATCAGATATATGGGTTTATATCCCATTTGATGTTATTTCCTTTTATATATTTGTACGTCTTGTTTTGTCAGAAACAAATATATAGGTCTTGAGGCTATAATTAAGGGTAGTTGACCTTATTTGCTTTTTGTCGCATTATTTGGTCAGTGTAAATCATAACAAGGGATTCAACTCCTTGAACTATTCTGTTCCCAGTATATAATATAAAAAACCTGTATTTTTATGATATGGAGTGCACAAGCGAATTTGGCCCCGGATGTGTCGTCCTCTAGTAAAATATTTAATTGGAGTCTCAACATGTTTTAAATTATATTGTCTATTTTAAAACATCAAATACCCCCTTTTTCTCACCGCAATTCATAATTCGGAGCATCCAGATGGTTGTGTTATGATTAATACAATAACCTACAAGTTCCAGGATCATGTTTACAATATTTGAATTAAAGAAAGTTACAAGCCTATTAGAAAATTCATCTTAGCACACTTCAAAACTCAATGATGAGTTTTTTCCAACCATGGGAGAATGATACAGATCAAGATTTGGTTGCTAAAAACTTTTAATTTTATTTTAGTTAATTATATTCGTTGGGACGTTTTTATATTAGGGTTAAGTGTTAAAAACAGGATTTTGAGGTTAGTTTGATAAAGTGTATTTTTTATAGGTCCCTTTTTTTTCTTTCTTTTGCATGAGATTTTTCTTCTTCTTTTTAGGCAATATATTTTTCTTTTGTTGACTTATACTTTTTTTAGCACGTTTAATTTGCAATAAATATTAGGAGTTATCTTTTGGAAGAGTCTGGTTATTTAGTTATTTTAGGAAGATGAAGCAAGTTCATTTCCTTTCCTTTTAGTAAGTATTAGATTGAGTTGGCAGTCTTTATTTGAATAAATTCTTTCCTTATCATTTGGACAAGGAAGTTCCCCTGATATGTAGATCCCTACTAAGATTAATGTTGAAGTGGTTGACTTCCTTTTTGTAGGGAGTTTTGGAAAGCAAGTTATTTAGTGTATAAAAAAAAGAACACATACAATGCATTGGATGATGAATTTTGCTTGAATTAAAAAAATGTTATTTTGTAGAGAGAAAGAGAAAAAGTGAGCATGGCTCTAGTTCTTCTTTTCTTCCTCTCTTGTTGATGGTGTGCAGTGGAGATCTTGGATCCCCACATCTGTGTTTTTTTCTTGTAGATTTTTTTTCACCTTTTTTTATTTACTAACAACGCAATTACCTTTTTCATAACATGTAAATGCATCATAAACATTATTAATGGACCGTTGCTATGTCAGTCTGTCACTACTGAGTAAAGAACTGATGGTCGATGTGCACAGTGACTAGTGAATCGAATACATTAATTGGCAGACCTAAGAGATTTCATTTACCACATTGTTTGTATGAAACTTTGAATGGTCACATGTGTTGGTGAGCAGGGGGCATTAGTCTTTGGAACCCAATTAATCCACGGATCTCCATTTTTTTGTTATTTTATTCATTATTGCAAGTGGAAGGCTAAAATAAAAACATGGATTGAAATAGCGAGAAGATATAATATGTCTTTTAGCTTGATTAAAGCCACGGTCTTAGATAGAATATAATGATGAAACAAAACTCATGCAACCAATTCCAAATAATTAGAAATTTGGATTTGGCACGAATAATAATGATGATTCAAGATCACATAGCAGATCTAAGGTCATGTGAGCCCCATCCGAGCTTTAAAAGCTTGTGCCACTCCTATTGATAACAAGGAATACAACAATGGCACAAGAAAGGGGTTGCAATCGTAGTGATATCACTCTTCATATCTCAGCTGCATGTTGTGGCTTCTATTATCATGATTCTTTAAAAAACCACTAATCATTTCGACACCTTCAAAAACCACTCACCATTTCAAAAACAAGAGAGAGCCAGTACTGTTGGAAATTGTGACCTTTCAGGATATTTTATTCAAAATATCTAATTATTATGGGCATCAATATATCAGTCAATAATATCATGGTATTGATATAAAAAGAGTCGTACATAAGTCTTTAGTGCCTAATTAATCCGCTAAGTGAGAGCTAATTAAAACTCCCAATGCCTTTTAAAGTGCATAAAGATAAAAGTTAGGCTCCCAAGTCTAAAGTAGAGTTTGAAAGCAGGGAAAAAAAGAGAGGAAGGGAGCTGGTTGGCTCACGTTGAATTATGCAGTATTAATGATAACAACGGGTCAGCGTGGTAAAGTTTCAGTCCAAGAAGACGTCACCCTGTGAAAGAAACTAATAGCATCACCATAGCCATTACTCTAGTTCCAAAGAACGGAGATCCCCCTTTGAAATTTAGCCATGAAAAGCGACCCTATTTAAATCATGCCACTCCTCACAATTTTTCTCCATCATGTCCTCAACCTCGCCATGGACACAAGCACCACCATCTCAGACAATAAAAGCCCTGTTAAAGGCTACATCCTCCTCGCCGTTAATGGCCTCTTTCTCACTCTTGGAGGAGGCTGTGCCCCCCTTGTGTCGCGCATCTACTTCTTACATGGTGGACAACGCAAGTGGTTCACTGCCTGGATCCAAACAGCCGCATGGCCCCTCCTCCTGATCCCTCTTTCTCTCCCTAAATTTTTCAGCAAAAAGCTTCAATCTCAACAGGAAAAATCTCATCTCACCTTCCCCTTGGCCCTCCAAAGCGCGGGAATCGGCCTCCTTATCGGCCTCGACGACTACATGTACGCCTTCGGCCTCTCTTACCTCCCGGTTTCGACCTCGTCTCTCCTTCTCTGCACACAACTAGCATTCACGGCTCTCTTTGCGTTCGTGCTGGTTCGCTACAGGTTCACCGCCTACTCGATCAATGCAGTGGTGTTGCTTACCTTGGGACCAGTGTTGTTAGGGCTCGGGGCTCGGGGCGACAGGCCGGAGGGCGTGAGCGGTGCGAAATATGCATTAGGGTATGTGATGACTGTAGGAACGGCAGCAGTGTTTGGGCTGGTGGTGCCTTTGCTTGAGCTTGTTTACGGAAAGGCCAAGGTGGTGGTCACATACACGTTGGTGCTGGAGATGCAAGTGATCATGTATGTCGTGGCCACCGCCTTTTGCACGGTTGGGATGATCGCCAATAAGGACTTTCAGGTGAGTTTTTTTGGCCCTAAGATTTGATTTTGAATGGAGACTTTACCTACTTATCAACTTGTGGTTTTCCACAGACACCATAAAAAAAAAAAAGACTAACTCCTTAATCTATCTAAAAATTTGAGAAATGATCCCTGCAACATTTTGAGAAATGATCATGCAAGTTTTAGAAAAATTTATATGTGGCATTTAAAAGTTGAACCATTTAACATTTTATCTGTGAAATTGCATTGCCATGATTATTTTTTAAATTATCCATAAAAGAATAGCATGTCATCATGGCTCATAAATTGTTGGATGGAAAAATCTTAAATATTAACCCATTACTTATAATTTGATATGAAGCAGTGCTCTTTAATGGTACCAAGAACTGCGACGATTTTATTAATTTTATGTTCTTTTTAGAAATTTTGTGTTCCTTTCAACTTTGTTCCTCGAACGCTAGGATTTTATATCTGCACAACTTTTTTTTAAGGTTTATTGAGTTTTTTAAGTAGATTAAGAGATATCTTTTTTTTAAGGTGCTAATAGTAAGAATGAAAATCACAACGTGATGACTAACGAGTGCGAATGTGCTAGTATCATGACCCAATCCCTTTCCCATAAGTCCATAACACTTGTTAGTGCTTATCTATGGTCCGTTGACCGGTAATTATTTGGCCTAGACGAGTTATGATTAATTAACAACTTGCCTAGTTAAAAAATATATAATTTTATTAAAAATATTAATAGCGTTATTTGAAAATATTCATATGATTTTTATATTATTACGACGATTATGAAATTTTTTTAATATATTGTCTTGTTTTTTATTTTTTATTTTCAATTTTTTTCAAAATATTTCCGAAAATTTTCAATAATAGAGCACTGAGTAAATGCTATTTGTCCTTCCCCTAAACCCCACTATTCAAAAGGTGATGTACAGTTAAATGTGTGAACACGCCTACTTTTGTGTGAGGGGTATCTTTTGTCTACTTTTTAAGAGTGGTTTTGTTAATTATTTAGTTATACGCCAAGCCAAACACTAGCGTCCGCCGTCTGCCACACGGACGACAAATGCGCCGAATAAAGGCACATATTTACAATGTTCCTTTCATCTATTTTTAGAAGACTCCTGTTTTTTTTTATCGAAACACCAACATTTAGTTCGTCCACCTCAATTGATTGGGACAAGGCCAAAACGATGATGATGGCAAACATTTGGTCTGCCCTTGAGCAAATCAGAATAGTATGAGCTCTCCCAACGATTCGCAGCAATCTAAATTTGGCACGATCTCGGTGAAGAAGATCATGAAAACAATTTTTTCAAAACTATTTAAAAAATAATGTTTTTCTTCAAGAGAAAATAGAGCAATAACGGGTTGTCCATCTTAGGATACAAAAAATGGTGAAAAATGTTAACTGGAGAGCCATTGCTAAGCCAAAATGGTGCCAGTTATCATCTTGCTTGCGCAATACATTTGCCCAAATATTGCCATCATCATAAAGTTTAGGTGTATAAAATTAGCATATGAATTATTTTACTTACAAATGGTTTACTAAGAGTGATTATTAAATGTGCAAAAGCAATTTGAATGAGATGAAACAATAGGGTAGGACAAAAGTATATCGGCACAATGGGCTTTGCCACAATTAAATGACATAAAATCATGAGGCCCTCAAATGTTGGTAGGCATATGATACCAATAGCATTAATATGTTTTCCTGTGTGTGGGACTTGCGAAATTAAATGGGCAAGTTTTTTTAAACTTCCCCCTCCTGTATGAAACTTACATACTTCCCCTTATCCCACCGTCTATTTTAAATTAACGGCTGAGATGGCCCCTATCGCATTTTTATAGTATTTTATTTTAATATGTTTTCTTACAAAATATTTTGACACCAAAGTTTGGGCATCCACTCCTCTCTCAAACGCATACCTGTAAAAAAATATTTTTATACAAATATCATGACCAAAATGCCTTTGAAAGTTTCAGGGTTATTTTAGTCATTATATTTTATTTAAAATATTTTTTTTAGGTGCAACCCATTGAAATGATGACACATACCATATATACTTTGTGGAAAAAAATTAAAGATGAAATTCTCTAAGGCATCGGATCTAGATCAAAAGGTCAACGGCTTACTTGATCTAAATTAAACAGCTGGATGGGAAGGGAAGTATATATCTTCTATACAATAGGGAAAATATAGAAATATTTCCCAAATTAAATTTGGGCTGTCGATGTAGTTTTAATGAATCAATGTGAATTGGGGTTTGAGCATGTTATGTTTGCTTTCAGGCTATTCCGATAGAGGCCAGAGAGTTTGGATTGGGAGAGTTTAAATACTATCTGACAGTGGTGGCAAGTGGTGTAATGTGGCAGCTTTTCTTTATAGGAAGTGCTGGTTTCATCTTTTGCACTTCCTCCATGTTTACTGGTGTTTTTGTAGCTCTGCAAATCCCATTGAGCGAGTTATTGGTGGTCATCTTCTTCCATGAAAAGTTTACTGGTGAGAAAGGTATGGCTCTTGTTTTATCAATGTGGGGTTTTGTCTCTTACTTTTATGGGGAGCACCTCAATGCAAGGAAGAAGAAGGGGCCTGATATGGATACAGCGATAAACCAATTGTAATATCTATTTTATATATTATCAGTTTATTGAAGGGATATTCATGCTTGGTGAAATCCAGTAGTCCAGCTGGTTGGAGGTCTTTTTCTCTTAAATTCTACTAGTAAATGAAAGGTAACAACATAACGTAGTATTTTTAAGATTTTTCAGCACCTACATTGACAAGTCTATTTACATGTGCTACATTTCAATTAAAAATAAATGGAAACAAACCATGACATGGATTAAAACTTATTGCCACAAATACAAATACCTTTATTTTGTTTTAAATAAAAAATGTGGTAGTAGTATATAAAGAAAAATAATATGAATAACTAGTGTTTAAATTTTTTTTGATCATAAATCACCAATCTGGAATCACTAATGACCAAGCCGGTTAAATTGTTTTAAGTGGCTATCATGTACTGGTATTATTAGAGGCTTATCGTCGAACCTCCCCAGACTTTGTGGCTACTAAAGCACAAGGTCTAGTGAAAAATAGAATTGAAGCACTTATGATATAAGGTTTGAGGTTTCTTCTAGGGTTTGAACTTACAAAGTAATTAAGGTTCGAGGCATCTAGGGTTTGAGTCCAGAGATTTTGAGATGCTAGGGTTAGGGTTTCGCTATGTAAAGCTCTCTGAATGCGATCCAGAATGGGAGAAAACCTTCCAAACATAACCAACATAATAGTTCCATCAATGCCGCTCATGGGATCATCTATGCAACCCGTCACTAGGCTCATTGCCCGAAGCGATGTGGTCAGCGTCGTTGAACTCTTTCCTGACTCAGCTTAAGCAACGTTCTCAAATAATTGGTAAAAGGCGTCTATTTTGTTACATTAAAAATGTTGATTCACCTGTATGGATCAGTTTTTGTACTTGTTTGGTCAATTCACAATTTTTTTCACACAGTAAATGGGCAATTGGGACCACCGATTCACTGATTTGGCACAGTAAATTGGCAATCGGGATAATATGGCAAGACCAACTACATTATCCATGAGCTATAAGGCCATTTCACCTACCTCTAGTTGACGAAAGCCCCTTGGTCAAATCCAGTGATTTAAAGAACGTCAGGTCGGCATGGAATTGCCTGGTCTGACCTCGGAATCGGTCATCCCAAGCCAATTCTATCAATATATAGGAAATCGTCCGGGTCTGAAAGAGAATTGACAATTTGCTACAGTAAAAACACCGTTTTGCTACATTAAAAATGTTGATTCACCGGTTTGACCGGTTTTTGGCCAATTCTTTGTTTTTGTACGTGTATTTTGCTAGTTCACTATTTTTTTCACACAATTAATTGGCGATCCGGACCGATTTTTACGATTTTTGCGATGCCCAATACATGTCCCCCTATTAGATTGACCATTCTAATCCTGTCTCCCTTCCACATTACCTTACCCTCAGACAGGAAAAATGCACCCCTAAGAATGTGTTTGGAAAACTTCCTTTTACCTTTAACATCATGAAAGAGGACCACCGACCTCTTATTGATAATCGTTCCATCTGTAGCAATACTGATACAACGGCATGATCCTCCCATAAGCGAGTGCTTAATGACCCAGCAATTCATGGACTAACACTCCAATTACTTTCTTCATAACATGTAAATGCATCATAAACATTTGCCAGTGGACAGTTGATATGTACAGTCAGTCTTTCACTACTGAGTGGAGGAACTGATGGTCCATATGCACAGTGATTAGTGAATTGAAGACATTAAGAGATTTCATTTACCACATCTTCTGTATGAATGGGGATATGCATTTGGTGGACACAGGGCATTGGTCTAAAGAACCCGATTAATCCCCCAATTTTTGATTTTTTGTTATTTTATACCATATAATAACCAATCCAGATAGAAAGCGCCCGAGCCCTTTCTCGGTCTGCACCACAAAAACTGATAAAAGTACTATGACAGCTTGTGAAAGAAACTAATAATATCACCGCATGCACCACACAAACTGATAAAAGTACTATGACAGCTTGTGAAAGAAACTAATAATATCACTATAGCCATAACTTAAATTAGATCTTACCTCAAAACTTTCCCTAGAAGAGGCTGTTTTGATGGCCAAATATCCTCAAATTGATCATCGGGACATCAAAATGCATGGACTTGAAAAAAAATGGATTTCAAGTTTTGAAAATAGTGCATCTTTGAGCGCATTTTTGAACTTTCAATTTTTAAGTTATTCAAGTTTTCATAGATCTGCTCCATCTACATTTTTTAAGCTTTAAATTTTATAATTAAAGATAAAAATATATTTTAAGGCTAATCAAAGATTTTCAGTATTGAAACCATATTCTCGACACCGTTTGAAGGTGAGCTCTAATTTGATTTGTTTAGAGCCTCGGCTCTATAGAAACCTCACCCTTTTAGCATTAGCAATGAAAAACACCCCCATTTAAACCATGCCTCTCCTCACTCTTTTTACCCTCTTGTCCTCAACCTCACCATGGGCACAACCAACACCATCTCAAACAATCCTAACCCAATTAAAGGCTACATCCTCCTCGCCATTAACGGCCTCTTTCTCATTCTCGGAGGAGCCACTGTCCCCCCTCTGTTGCGCCTCTACTTCATACATGGTGGACAACGCAAGTGGCTCACTGCCTGGATCCAAACAGCCGCGTGGCCCCTCCTTCTAATCCCTCTCTCTCTCTCTAAATTTTTCATCAAAAAGCCCTAATCTCATTTCACATTCCCCTTGGCCCTCCAAAGCCGGGAATCGGCCTCCTCATCGGCCTTGATAACTACATGTACGCCTTCGGCCTCTCTTACCTCACGGTTTCGACCTCGACTCTCCTTCTCTCTACACAACTCGCATTCACAGCTCTCTTTGCGTTCCTGCTCGTTCGTTACAAGTTCACAACCTATTCGATCAATGCAGTGGTGTTGCTTACTTTGGGGCCGGTGTTGTTAGGGCTCGGGGCTCGGGGCGGAGGTCGTGAGCGGTGCGAAATATGCATTAGGGTACGTGCTGAGTGTAGGAACGGCAGCAGTGTTTGGGCTTGTGGTGCCTTTGCTTGAGCTTATGTACAGCAAGGCCAAGGTGGTGGTTACATACACGTTGGTGTTGGAGATGCAAGTGATAATGTATGTGGTGGCCACGGCTTTTTGCACGGTTGGGATGATTGTGAATAAGAACTTTCAGGTGAGTTCTATTAGCCCTAGGATTTGATCGTCAATGAGGACTTTTAAACGAAGTAGTAATCCTGCTAGTTTTACAAAAGGAAAATTGTTCGGGGATGAATTTCTACATTTGCGTCCCCCAGGTATAATGCATCCATATCAAAGATGGATGCAATGCAAACTTGAAACTTGAAACTTACTGTCCAAATGTTTTAAGCATAGAATTATTATTTTGTATTTTTTAATATTTATGATCTTCAATTTAGAGATTATGCATTCTTAAAAATTAGATAAAAAATCCATTTTTAAAGTAGATTTTTAAGAGGGGACTCATATCTATAAAAACTGTCCATGAGAAAATTTATCATACCACTTACCAGTTGAACTATAGATAGTCATTGTTTGATTAAATTTCAGAGTGCCCATAAAAGAAAACGTCATCATAGCTCATGAATCGTTCGACGGAAAATATCTTAAATAATTAATCTCTTAATTATAATTTGATAAATTTCTCAAGATTTGATTGCAAAGCCACACTTTTTAATTGTACTAAAAACTGCATTGATTCCATCATTTTTTGTATTTTTTGTAGTAATTTTGTGTTTCTTTCGCGTCTTCCCGAGAATGTTAAATTTTTTGGAGCAAGCTTTCTAAGTTTCCCCTACATCGTAAAACTTATATACTTCCCCTTATCTAACCGTCCATTTTGAATGGAGGACTAAGATTGCCCCAATCACAATGTCACGTCCCTACACTATTTTATTTTTAATATTTTTGCTATAAACTATTTTGAGACGAAATTTTGGACGTCCAATCCTATATTAAACTCGCACTAGTGAAAAATATAAAAAAATATTTCCGATAAAATAAAATAACCAAAATACTCCTGAAAGTTTCAAGGGGTATTTAGTTATTATATCTATCGAAAAATTATTTTTAATATATTTTATAGGTGCGCCCTAATGAAAAGATGAAACGTACCAAATTTCATATTCATATAATTTGTATAAAAAAAGTAAAAATAAAATACTTTGAGACATCGGATCTAAGATCAAACGGTGAGTGGCTCTCTTGATCAAAATTAGATGGCTGGATAGTAGGGGGAGAATAGTTCTTCTATGCTGTAGAGGAAGTATGGAAACCTTTCTCAATTTTTTATAGAAAAAAGTATTTTATGCGTTAGGACACACTTATGCAAAAGTATCTCCCCTGACGTGAGGCATGTAACATTCATTTTATCTATGCAAAAGTGTCCCCCGTAACGTGAGGCATGTAACATCCATTTTATTTATACAAAAGTGTTCCCCCCTGAGGTGAGGCATGTAACATTCATTTTATCTTAGAGATAAATGTTACATAATGGTAGACCCATAAAAAATTAAAACTCAACAGAGTTAAAACAATGTAAAATAATATTTACTTTGTATTTTTAAAATTCATTCTTTTCAAGTTCTGTTCTTACTTATCATGGTTGCGATTTTCATTCCCTACATTTTGAGTCCAATATCCATTTCGAAAAGATAGATTTTGGAGGGAGGACTCAATTAAATCGGTAAATTGGCCGATTCATAAAAATCTTGTCCTTTTATGTGTGCACCATTTTCTAAGGTTCATGGAGTTGGTATTTCCCAATATGGAGAGACTGACCTCTGTGCGCGGTTTGGGGCTTTAGGCACGAGCCCGATGAAGCTGGGCTTGAATTAGAGGCAGTGTCGTCAGATTTGCCTCTTCGGATTGGTCGGAAAAATGTAGCAATTCGGTGCTTTGGCCGACCTGAAGGAAGACTTTGGAATGTTTTTAAAACATTAATATGAATAAATTTTAAATTTATATATAAAAATATATTAAAATAATAACAATTTTAAAAATAAATATTTCAACAAAAAAAACAATTCTATGCTTTGGCCGAAGTGGCCAAAGTTTTAGCAAAAGAGGCCAAATCACATTGAAGCAGGCCGAAGCACAAAATTGTCCTTTTAAAATATAATTTTGTGCTTCAACCAAAGAGTTCGAAGTTTCAATCGAATTAAACCGAAGCAGGCCAAAGCAGATGCATTGGAGCTTCGTAACACTTCGGTCTAGGTCAAAAATTTGAAGACTTTGACCTCTTTACATCATGTTGATTCCCAACTATAAATTCTCATAATTATTGCATATCGATGTGATACTCACGTACCCCGTGTGTGTTTTATCTTTTAATATCCTTGGTATCGAGTTCACATCGATACCAAAGATATCAATGTGAAACCCTCGATATCCTTGGTATCGAGGGTTTCAAGTCTGCCAATGATATATTTCACAATGAACACATGTCCTAGTATCCGTGCACTCTTATGACTATCAAGAAAACCACAATACCATCAACCTCTCAAATAAATGGTAAAAAGTTAAAAACAAAACAACATTCATATATAAAAGAGTCAAACAATAATGATGGTAGAGAGAACTGATTAGAGACTCCCAAGTCCTAATCCCCTGACATGAGCCATATACTTCTCTCAAAATTCTTCCATCCTCCTAGTGGGAATTCATGCCATGATTGTCCCTCTCCTTTCAATGACACCTCACATAGAGTAATATCCAATCTCTATTTGTTGTACCTTCTATGATACCTGAGATTGTTGTCCTCTATGATACTTGGAATTGTACGCCAATGTCACTGTATTGTCACAATATGATGGAAATCACATCTCTTTTTTGATGTTTTATTTTTATTTTTTTTTATTTTTATGATTGTTGGGTTAAATTTGAGGGATTGGTAGTGTAAAGGGTTAAAATACGATTTTTTTTTTTATCATTATGGGTTGGGTAGTCATTTTACAATACTCCTCTTTCTTGAGGATTAAGATAGCTCTTCTTGATTTAGTTATTTTCCTATTCTTATGGGAAAGTCACGTAGAGCTTAATTTAGCGGGAGTAGAGATTTTTTCTTAGAAAAAAGGATCTAGGGGGAGTCAAAGATTTAAATAAATATTTTATGGGATGATGGATATGATAAAGGTTCATGGGATGGGATGATAGATATGATAAGGGTCCGTGGCAGGAAAGTAGATCATGTGAGCGAAACGGGCTCTTATTTTCATGGGATGGAAATTATTGGGTTTACATTTTTCATGGGATGGAAATTATTCGGTTTGCATGATCTAGAGAGAGATTAATGTGGGGAGAGAGAAAGACGTGTAGATAGAGAGATATACGAGGGTTGGAGAGAGAGATATGTGGGTTGTAAATAAAGATAATTTCTTTTAGTTTTTTTTATTTTGTATTTAAGAGCTTTGACATCCCAATTAGAAAGGACTGGAATATTTTTGTAGAGAATTTGTTTATGAATGAAGAAAGATAGTTTTTCTTCATTGCTTGATTTATAGTCATATTTTCCCCTTCATTATTGTTGAATTTTTTCTTCTTTTAGATCAAAAGAAGACCTGATTTAATTTTTCGAACTCTTTTTGCATTATTTGGTATCACAACAAAAGAGTTAGTGACTACGATGGCTGATCGTGAAAGTCACAACCGTAGAAATACCGAGCATGACCAAATATACAAGAAAATCAGCAACTTGACTAATATGGTTGAAAAGTTGTTGCAGAAACATAGATCGTAACAACGTACATCGAACAAAATGAGATCTATGGTGTTGGATCTATATTGTACGAGTTTTTGTGGAGATCGGCATAGATCAATGCATGAGTCTGAGAGGGAATGGCCTGATATTATGCTTGATCGCACTTATGGATTTGAAGCACGACGGCATCGACAGGAGCATGAATGCAGAAAAAAATTGGGTAACCGACTATCCCAAAGTCGATGTGATTGATATAGGAGAGTGGACCGAAATCAATTTAGAAGTGAGCAAATAAAGAATTTTACTACATCCAGATCCACCCTTGGCGTAAGATCATCCCAGGCTAGGAGACTGACATCTCTAACATGGGGAGTTGTTATTCCTACAACAAATCTATGATCTGAGCATCACACAAGTAAACAGAGAAAGGTATATGATTTTTTGAACAATAAAAATCGTAAGTTCTTCACTAGAGATGTTGATGCATTGAAAGACACAAAAGGTCCTAAATCTAGTGAGAAAATAGTATATGTATTTGTAGATCAATCTGCGGAAGAGATAATTGGAGATATGCCTAGCATTTTTATTGATGAAATTATGGATGATTCTAAATATGATAATGAGAAAATTCAGCATTGTATCAATCATAATGAAATGCTAATGTTTAACATTCTTTCTGTTGAAGACAAAATTGGATTTGTAAGTGATTCCCTACTAGTGAATGTGGAAGAGCAACCCCCAACTACAATGAAATGGGGTTTAGGATTGGATGAGAAAACAAAGAAGGTGGTTTTTTATCAAAGCAAATTGTCGATGGTCAGACATGAACTATCTTTGTTGTCATTAATTGATGAAACTCCACCTGAATCTTTTAAATAGGAGGGTGTGGCTCGATTTTCTAGTCGACAACTTATTAAGGAAAATGTTGATGATATCCAATTGTAGTTGATGATGTGGTTAATGTTGGTGCTGGTTGTAAAAATTATATGTGTACATTAAAGTTGTCTAGTAGAGGTGATGAAAATTATGATATGAACATGGAGAGCCGTGACTGGTTGTCTGTTTCGAAAAATCCTAATCATGATGTTTGGAATGGTTGTGATGAATTCAGATGGTTCGGTCGTCTATTGGAACCATTTCATAATTGGTGTGAAATCTTTGAAGTATGGTTTCAACAACATCATTTTGTGTGGCATCTGCTTATTAATGTTGTTGATTTAGGATGTTCAAGAGATGTGGGGATGATAATTTGCAGTGGGAGTATGTTGATGTTTGGTCAATGCACTAGAATTAGATTTAATGTTAATTACCGAGAAAAAAAAGCCACCTAATCAAGTACGAAAACCATCTGATGGCATTTGACTCGTGAAAGAAGTTATTACATTGTTTGAGAGTTTATTGAAAGGGCAAATGAGCATATTATACATACACAAGAAGATATGAGTCATTTCTTTCTCAGCTTTGTTGAAACTGAACAAATCTTATATGGCCCTACAAGTGAAGGGAGTGGTTTTGTAATCAAAGTCTTGATGTCCATGAGAAATAACATGAAAGGTGCTTATGTAGAGATTGAGTAAAGTATTGCAAGAGGCAATGATCTTGCTACTGTAGAGATAACATCTCTTTGTGCCACGTATGTTTTGAAAATTTCTTTTGATGTGTTAAAATTTTTCCTTAGGGAAACTTGTGAGCTTGGCACAATCGTATGAGTTTTAAATATTTACTTTTTGGTTTGCAATGTGAATGGGAAGGGTTTATTGGATGTGTGCTAGAAGCCCTTGGTGTTGATCGACAAAGTATTTGTACACATGCCAGTTGTATGGTTGGAGAATACAAAGAGGATGTTGGTGATAAATTTCTAGAGGGAAGTACAAAAACTCACAGAGTTTTTCCCTGTTATTACTCTCCACAAAACATTGGCTTAATACTTGCTAAAACCAAAAGTGGTCACGTGATTTTTATGCTATCATTGTAGGAAAAATTTCCTCTAGAAATTACACAAGAGAATTCACCCCTGAACAAGCTTTCCGAGACGATTGATATGATAGTTGGCTACACAGACTTTAACAAAACCATGTCAATTACCTTGAAAGCTGCATTTCTTGATAGTAATGTTTGCCTCGTGGGAATGAGATACGATAAAAGTGATGAGGCTCATGTCAGATCTACAACAGAAGTTGCAACCTTCTCAGCAAATTGATGGCTTAAAACTTAAGGCATGGTTATCACAAGAGTTCAAGACAAAGAAGAAACCTCAAGAAAAGAAAGCAGGTTGGAAGAAAGATGTTTTTTTGTGAGGAATCAATTGGCCGATACAATTAGTCAAAGAGCATATTACATTGGCCCGTATTTGAATGTATTTGGATGTTTGTCCAAAGAATGGCTAGTTGGATGGAGAACTTCTTCATTTTTTAGAGTGTTCAATCTCATGGCTTACAAAAAACATTTATGTGGAGATGTTGGACTTCACCATCAGCTAAGGGGTATCGATAATGGCATAGCAAAAACACGAGGCGAGTTTTTTTTCCAATCCAGGGAGTATGATACAAATCACATCCCATTATTTATTTATTTTATTATTATCTTTTTATTTTTATGATTGTTAGGTTAAATTTGAGGGATTGGTTGTGTGAGGGGTTAAAACACAATTTTTATTTATTATTATGGGCTCGGTAGTCATTTTACAATATTCCCATTTCTTGAAGAATAAGATAGATCTTATTGATTTAGTTAATTTCCTATTTCTATGGGAACGTCATGTAGAGCCTAATTTAGTGGGAGTGGAGATTTTTCTTGGAAAAAGGATCTTGGGGTGATGGATATGATAAGGGTCCATGAGATGTGATGATGGATATGATAAGGGGCCATGGGAGGAAAGTAGATCACTTGAGGGAAAGGGGCTCCTACATTCACGGGATGGAAGTTATTGGATTTGCATGATCTAGAAAGAGATTAACTTGGGAGAGAGAAAGATGTATAGATAGAGAGAGATATGTGTGGGGGAGAGAGAGACACACACACATAGGTTGCAGAGAGAGATTTTCTTTTAGCCTTTTTATCTTGTATTTAAAAGGGTTGACATCCCAATTAGAAGGGATTGCAATATTTTTGTACAGAATTTGTTTATACATGAAAAAAGATAACTTCTTCTCCATGACTTCATTTATAGTCATATTTTCTCTTCCATTATTGTTGAATTTTTTCTTGTTTAAGATCAAAAGAATGCCGGATTAATTTCCTTGACTCCTTTTGCATTAGAATATATGCTCACAGACTCTGCAGCACTCAATAAATTGTTATTCTTTACAAGATCCTCATGAGCCACACACTCTCCTACAACGTTTTATAACAATGTATATATTTTGTTCCATATCAGAGAGGCCATTCTTGTCTCTCTTTCTTGTAGCATCAAGAAATCACTCCCACTCTTAATGTGAAGACATTTCATGATGTCAACAGTCAATAATCTAGATTCCCTATCCAATCAAACTTATTTTATCCTCATAGTTGGACATCATTTTCCTTAAAGATCCATGAGTAGTCTACAGTGCTCTGGAGATATCGAAGTATCTTGCTCCTAGCCTGCCAATGCTCATAACCTGGGTTGCCCTGGTAGATGGGTTGCTCTATTAGCAACGTAACAAGCCCTATGGCAAATCCCTTCATATTCATAACTTGACCTATATAAGATTGGCTACTATACTAGCATAGGGTATACAAATCATCGTCACATTTTTAAGCTTTCGTCTAATGAAGGGGTTTAGACTAAGCACATGACTCTGCTTGATAAGAGTATCATTGGACCCACCATATGCATTCTGAATCATTCTAAGATTTTCTTAATGTAAATCACTTAAAGACAAACTTGAGGAGCCTCTTAGCATGACTATTGTTGATCTCAGCATGGAGCACATCATACATGTCACATCAAAATAGGAGGATAGACACTCAGTAGTGGTATCAATTATTTTCTTGTCATTTCTTGTCATTACGATCCAGTCAACTCGTAATAACAAGATCATGGACACCACTCCTTTTGATGACATATCCTTATCAAGGAATATCATCTGAACAACCATATGATCAAGTTCTCGAGCCTAGCTCACGGCATAACACCACTCTCACCAGTAGATAGAATGTCTTATCGTGTTCACACCTAAATTATGTGAACCCTTTCACTACTTATTGGGTCTTGTTTTTATCTATAGTTCAATCAACCCTTTTTCTTGAAAGAATATTTAGTTGTTCCCAAACTTGGCATTCTACATAGAATTATTCTCCTAATCCATTGTAGTAATCTACTTGCCAGCAACTAATGATTACATGAACCGAGTTCGTACTCATCAATGATTACATGAACCGAGTTCTCATCAATGGAGCACATGCCAGACATTTCCCTTCAATCTCAAAGTGTTTCCAGGGAATTTTGAGACTTGCATTCTTATGAGGTTCAGGAATTAATGGTGATTCACTCCTAGTATCCTCAACAACCATGAGAGTAATTCCAATATTGTCCCCTAGTAGAGGAATTTCCTCACAATTCTCGATTTGAGATCCAACCATCTAACCTTGATGAAAAGTCATCCATAACCAAGGAAAGTCCACATTATAGGATTGAACTACTCTTTAAGTCACCCTCCTCAAACTCATAACCTAGGGCATTCTTGATACAGTTCTCAAGACATCTAGTGAGCATTTATATTGCGGACCTATAATTTAGCTAATTATCAACTGAAATGGCAAGAACAACTGACATGCAGGGACTAAAAAATAAATAGGTGGGGTTCCTATTGCCCATAATTTTGGATTTTCTCTCTAGAAAATTATTTCTTGTGTTTTGACACATCACCTACATGGGGTATCAGATCTGAGGGGCAGACTCCTAGCGGAATAGTTTTGATACCAATGTCAAATTCTTCGATGGATTTGAGAAGCAGCAAAAAAACAAAAATAATAGATCAAATAGAATCATATACCTTTTACAAATTTTGACTCCTCCCAGGAGGTTGATATGATTATTTTGTTCATTTCTATGACATCTCCTCCAGTTCGAAAGTTTGATACTCCCAACTCTAGGTCGACTTTCCATTACTAGAACAAAAAATATAGTATAGCGAAAACTAGGAGTATAGAGGGAGGCTTTAAGTATAGAGAGAGAAACTCTTTTTGAAATGCATGTAAATCCTATGAAAATTCTCTTAACCAATTTATATAAGAATGTCCTATGAGGGAATCATATCCAAAAGATAAGTAATCTTTCACATTTTGAATACTATTCCCTCTAGTCAACCTTATCCCCAACTAGAAAATGCGTATCACATGTATTCCCTTTTCTTATCTCTCTACCATTTACAATTCCAATAATATCATGGACATCCTCTCTATCAGCCACTAAAAATATTGAAAATTCCATGGAGGTCCCTACACCTAGAAGGTCTAGACTTGAAATCCAATGGGGACAAACTTCAAGGGCTTCGACGGTTGGGCTGCCCCACTGAAACCGATCTATCTACCACTAAGCCACTGCCTTACGGACCACAAAATAGATATGTCTGCAATATGCTTCTTTAGTTAGCATCAGCATTTTTCACATCATATTTTCAAACGTTGCCATCATTGAATTATTTTATCTGTAAATGGTATCTTTTTAGATAAATTACTAAATTTTCAACAACAATTTGAATGTGAAGAAAAACTCTGAGATAAGACTAAAGTATGTCGCCACCGAAGGCTTTGCCACCATTAAAATGGCATAAAATCAAGAAGCCCTCAGATTTTAGAAGGCATATGATGCTGGCCAAAATCACTTGCTGTTAACAATCAGTAATGTGTTTTCCTCTTAAGATATAGCATGTGTGTGTCAGACTTGTGAAACCAGGATTGTGTTCTTTTCAAAAAAAATTACCCAAATAAAATTTGGTCAGTGGATATGTTTTGAATGAATCAATGTGATTTGATGTTGAGCATGTTATGTTTCCTTTCAGGCTATTCAGATAGAGGCCAAAGAATTTGGATTAGGAGAGTGTAAATATTATCTGACAGTGGTGGCAAGCGGTGTAATGTGTCAGCTTTTCTTTATAGGAAATGCTGGTTTCATCTTTTGCACTTCCTCCATGGTTACCTGTGTTTTTGTAGCTGTGCTAATCCCAGTGAATGAGCTATTGGTGGTCCTCTTGTTCCATGAAAAGTTTACTGGTGAAAAAGGCATGGTTCTTGTTTTGTCAATGTGGGGTTTTGTCTCTTACTTCCATGGGAAGCACCTCAATGCAAGGAAGAAGACAGAGCCTGTCATGGATGTAGAGACAAACCAATTGTAATATCTATTTGATATATTATCAGTTTATTGAAGGGATCTTCATGCTTGGTGAAATCCAGTAGCCTAGTCGGTTGGAGGTCTTTTCCTCCTAAATTCTACTGGTAAATGAAAGGTAGGGATCTAGATCATGTATGGTGTAGTATATTTTAAAAAAAAATAGCAAAGACATTGACAAATCTATTTGCATGCACCACTTAAATGAAAACAAACTACGACAATGATTCAAACCTGCTCCTACAAACACAATCAATTTTATTTTATAAGATTATATATAATAAGGCCATTTATCTTTATTATTAGGAGGTCACAATTGTTAGTATCCATTAGATGTCAAATCGAATGACTTGGGGTGTATCAAAAAGTTTCAAAAACTTTTTTTGAACCTTGAGTCTAGTCAACGACACATGGACAAGTACCCGATTTGAAATCTGACGGACAAGTGTGACCTCCTTGTATTACAAGTATACAGTCTCCAAGTATAATTTTCCTTATTTTATTTTAAAGGAAAAATTTAGAAGTAATAAATCAAGCAAAAATAATATCAAGAACCTGTGTGTAAAAAATCACCAATCCGGAAAAAAAATGGCTAATCAGGAATTGGCAAAGACCGAGCCGATTATAGGTCAGAATCAGCAATTCTATTAATAGGCGTATTCAATGTGGAATAATAAAGCAAATAACATGAAATGTCTTAATTAGGTATCATGTGTTGGGATAAGGCTTGGAGGAAGATGATGAATTAACTATCCCGCTGCCAGTATTTTATAAGAGGCACATCGTTCAAACCTCGGCTGCGCCGGAAAAGTTTATATAAGGGTGAGGCCCTAAGCAATCAATTAAGGCACACCTCAAGAATTCACCAGAAGAGGTTGTTTCGATGCCCAAAAATCCTCAAATTGATCATCTCGTCCTCAAGATGCATGGACATAAAAAAATAGATTTCAAGTCTTGGGAATAGTGCATCTTGTCATGTATTTTCATACTATCACTTTTCAAGATTTTCAAGCGTTCATCGATCTGTTTGATCTACACTAGTTTTATAATTTTAAAATTTATAATTAGATATGAAATAAATCTCCAAGCCATCACAAAAATTTTCGGTATTGAAACATCTTCCGACACTATTTGAAGGTGCACCTTATTTTAATTGTTTAGAACCTCGGCCTTACACAAACCACGCCTTTTTAAAGTGCCTAAGTTTTGATTTAGTTCAAATCATATCAAATGTAATATTTAATTATGGGTCAGCTAAGTAGTGCTTTATGTAAAGAGATTTTTTTATTAGGAGCATTTTTTCTTAAGATTGAGAAAAAAAAAATATGGGGATACGAACCCTTGACCTTAATATTCTAAAGCGCAAAGCCAAAATATCATTGAAGCCCTTATTATATTTTTTTGACAAATATAAATTATACACTCTAGTTTTTTTTTTTTTCTCTGCTAGATCATTGTTGCGGATTAGGGTCGTTGGTTTGGGATCCACTCCAATTTATTTTTTTGAAACATTGTCAAGAATTATGAAACTGTTACCACAAAGCATGCCTAGGATCACCTCGAAAGGATTTGATACTACGTACTCTTTTGGAGCACCTGGATCAATAGGACACTGATCTAGGCCGTCGGTGTAATATCCTCCAAATGGGAAGTAAAAGATGGTAAAAAGATCACCTCTTAGGCTTTCAAAGGTGGAGAGAGAGAGATTTGCTTAGCTGTGGGTCCAAGGGTGGAGAAAAGACCCTTAATTATAGTAAAGCCAGGGCTAGGGTTTAGCCATCGGGGATGAGCAATGTAGTACACTCATTTGTGGTGTGAAGAGTGACTTTTAATCTAAGCTATCCATTCACCCAACCAACCATCATGATATCATGATAAAAATAGTGGTCAAAAATCTTTATCGCTTGGTTTCCATAATTCATTTTTTTTTAATTCTCGAATTTCTAACAGATAAAAATCTTCCAGAAAAACTCCTAAAGTTGCTAGAAAATCAATATCCGCCTTTCTATATTTTCGAAAATCTCTTCACCTTTAAATATTCTATTGATCTTATAGAAAATAAACTCTAGCTCACTCACTAAAAATCATTTCAAAGTTTGAGTCAACGTCAACTTGGACCGAGTCATTGTCAATGGGGACCGTGTCGATGGCGCCAACACATGTTGGCTACCCCAAACTTCGTTAGAAGCGTCACGGGTCCTTTCGGGTCCGTTTAGCATCAGTTTTTGCAACTTTTGAGTCCTAGTTCCCCTTGAAGTTCCTGTTTCACTGTTCTTAGACGAATTATGAGCCCACTTATTGCCAAATCCATTAGGATCAACTCTACTAGGACTTTGATTCTAGGCATTATATTTTTTCACAGACACGGTTACTATGAGTCCATGTAAAAATGAGTCACCTCTTAAAAATCTATTTTTAAGATGGGTTTTTGGACTTAAGTTTTAAAGACATGTAATCTCTAATATGAAGGTCATGAATATAAATAAATAAATAAATTTAAAAAATTAAAAATAATAATTCTATTAAAAAAACATTTGAATCATTACTTTCAATTGTTTTTAAATAAACACCTATTTGTATTCTTCTTTAATATGGATGCTTTATATCTCTATGACTGTAAATGTAGAAATGTGATCCCCAAGGCATGAAACAATTTTTCTTTCTTAGCCTACTTTGAATCACCTAAAATCTAGCATAAATTGCACTAAATACTATACCAACTTCCAAGAAGCCTGACAAAAAACGATAGACATAATTTCTGACCAAAAACCTAAAAACAAATTCCATTAAATGTGATGTGACCTACAAAAACCAAATTAGAGACCTCAACGGATACTGCAGTGGCACACTATTCTAGAGGCTTCTCAGGCCTAGGTTTTTCTTGAACATTTTAGAAAAACTTCTAATACTTTTTGGTAGAGAAATTTGATAATTTCCATTTGAAATTGGCCTTATTATTGAAGATCTAAAATTTCGAAGTTCGGACTGGATGATGCCCAGGAACTCAATTTGAGAGGGAGGTTATCTAAGGTAGATTAATACTAGAAGATCTAGAAAGTTTGTGTGGCTTTCAGTCCTAGGATTTAGATTGTCCTCAGGAGTCATGATAAGGAAATGATAAGTCAATTCTCGATAAAACTATATTGGAAGCATCTAGATATCAATGGAAACAATCCTAGAAATACCTGTGCATGATCCCCACAACAGTTCTACTATTGCTCTTCAACTCGGTATGCTTTGACATCAAATCATATTGTGTTGACATCAACTGAAACCACAATAGTGGATAAATCTCGCATCTGCTTGACCCCAAAATTTGAATTGTAATCCCAATAGAAGTGACAAAATCTAGTTTTTGGCCGATAAAACCGCCCTGGACCTCGAGCCAAGAGCAAACAGAATTCGACAGTTGCAGACAGAATTAGTCAATAGCCACATTGTCCAATTTACCCTTAGATCACTAGCCTAAGTTACCTAAACCCTAATTAAGCTACAAAAAACCTAGGGTCAAGCTTAAGAAACGTACATCTAATCTTCAATGTTCAATGTCCAATGCAAGTGTAATGATCTCAAGCTCTTGGTTTAATAAAAGCATGGTCCATGACTCAACTCCGGGTTCCGGGCTTGATTTGGTAAGCTTTCTACTTCTCTTTATTTCATTATTTTGATATTGACTTTTAAAATGAATGCTTTTTTCTTTCCAAAAAGATTAACGAATTAGATATTTATAGTGAGATCTACCTAACTAGCGGTTTACAAGAAAGGGATTGTAAATCTCTAAACTGCAAGCTGTAATTGGAAAGGTTTCTATGTTTCCCCTGTAGCATAGAAGTTCTATCCTTCTCCTACTATTCAGCCGTTTAATTTTGATCAAGTGAGTCGCTCACCATTTGATCTTAGATCCGAAGTCTCAAAGTATTTTATTTTTAATTTTTTTTATACAAACTGTATGAATATGAAATTTGGTAAAAGCCATCTTCTTATTGGGGCACATCTATAAAAAAATATTAAAAATAATTTTTCGATAAAATATAATGACCAAAAGACCCCTTGAAACTTTCAGGGGTGTTTTGGTCATTTTTTTATTAAAAATATTTTTTTATATTTTTCACTAGTACGAGTTTAATAGAGGAATGGACGTCCAAAATTTGGTGTTAAAATAGTTTATAGAAAAAAAATTAAAAATAAAATAGTTTAGAGACATGACATTGTGATTGGGGCAATCTTAACGTCCCATTCAAAATAGATGGTTGAATAAGAGGGAAGATAGAACTTCAATACTGTAGGAGAAGCATAGAAAGCCTGCCCAACTGTAATTTGGCTAGACCCTAATATCTCAAGTTTAAAAGGTTATTTGAGGTTTCACCTAGAGAAAGCAGACTTTGAATTTCCCTTCCTAGATTTGAATACAAACAAGCCCTATCTCTTTCTATTTTAACTCCCAAGACTTGTGATTCTTCTCCAAGACTTTCATGTCAAAATGGTATGATGGAAACGCTTTTGTTTTCAAGACGAGAGTCATTGAACTACTAATAATCAACGTATTATCCACTTATATAGAAATAAAAACCACATCACTCCCACTTTCCCTCTACATGATATGCAATAATTTTCCTCACTAAAGATAAAACCAGCATTGTTTGTTAGGTCTCAGTGAACTTGACGAAGGTGATAAAGCACCCCTTGTGCGCCATACTCATGGGGTGATCTCTAAAATGCACGTGGCTCCTTGCAGGAAGGATTTACTAACTATTTTACCTTGCACACATGTTTTATAAACTTTTGAGAAATCTCCCTTGCAATTTTGTAATTGTAATTTTGTAAGAAAGCATCTCTCCTAAATCCCTTCATTTGCTTGTGTTTTATATGCCCTAGCCTCAATGCCACATATAAGTATCCAAATCACATTCATCATTGGGAGTAGAAACCTAGGAAATAGGCACATTCATTTCAATAGCCAAAAGACCATCGACCTAGCAAAGGATGTAATTAGCTCACCATCAAAAG